CGCCTCACACGCCTGTCCAGCATGGCTATCTTTCACCAAAGCCTCCTTCACAGCAGTTAGGGTCTCCCTACAGGCCTCACCACTCACAGTCACCTCAAGTTGGAACACCTCAGCGAGAACCTCAGCGAAACTTTTACCCAGCAGCACAGAACCTTCAGGCCAGTACTCAGCAGGCACCTCCTGGAGCGTTATTTACACAGACACCCTCAGGACAATCTTCGGCAACATACAGTCAGTTTAACCAACAAAGTCTGAACAGTGCGGCACCACCCCCTCCACCTCCTCCGCCTCCTTCTTCTTCGTCTTATTATCAAAACCAGCAGCCCTCTGCAAACTTTCAGAATTATAATCAGCTTAAAGGTAGTCTTTCCCAACAAACTGTGTTTACATCAGGACCAAATCAAGCACTTCCTGGCACCACAAGCCAGCAAACAGTTCCAGGACACCATGTTACTCCAGGGCATTTTTTGCCTTCTCAGAACCCTACTATTCATCATCCAACTTCTGCTACTGTCGTCCCACCCCCTCCTCCACCACCACCTGCTCCAGGACCACATCTTGTACAGCAGCCAAGTTCCCATCAGCAACACTCTGTGGCACATGTAGTAGGACCTGTTCACGCTGTCACCCCTGGGTCACATATTCATGCTCAAACTGTTGGACACCATTTGCCACCACCCCCTCCACCTCCTGGTCCTGCCCCTCATCACCATCCACCGCCCCATCCTTCCACAGGACTCCAAGGTCTACAAGCACAACACCAGCATGTTGTAAATTCAGCACCCCCACCCCCACCACCACCTCCTCCACCTTCCAGTGTTTTGGCTTCTGGGCATCACACCACGTCAGCTCAAGCCTTACACCATCCACCTCATCAAGGACCTCCACTTTTTCCTTCAAGTGCTCATCCAGCTGTACCACCATATCCCTCACAAGCTACACATCACACCGCTCTGGGACCGGGAGCCCAACACCAGCCTTCTGGAACAGGGCCACATTGTCCATTACCAGTCGCAGGTCCTCATCTCCAGCCCCAAGGACCAAACAGTATTCCAACACCTGCTTCAGGGTTCTGTCCCCATCCTGGCTCTGTGGCTCTGCCACACGGGGTTCAAGGACCTCAGCAGGCATCTCCAGTGCCTGGACAGATTCCAATTCACAGAGCACAGGTGCCACCAACATTTCAGAACAGTTACCATGGTTCAGGGTGGCATTAAAATGGACTCCCAAAACATTTTTTTAAAATGTTCTGTAAGATAAACTGTATATTTCATATGTACCTATTAAGGTACTTTTTAAAGCTTGTACATGAAACTTTGTATTAAAAAACAAACAAAAAAACACCAGTGCTCTTTCATTGTATCGTTCCCATTTTTGCTTTTCAAAAATTCCTTTAAAAATGTGCTATTAAGCCAGTATTAGTTACCTTTGTTTTGTAAGTGGAACATTCCAGCTGTTTTTTTCTGGCAGAGTTAATGCTACATAATCTTTAAATTTTATTGTTGCAGTTAAATTCATTTAGTGAATGTTTTCTATATTATTTTATACATAGGCATTAAGTACAGAGCTAAGCAATGGCACTATGAGGATTTTCTTTTTTTTCTTTTTTTCCGTCAGCAGTTCTGCGAATGCATCTTAGATATAAAAATGCAATACAGATTGTTTTATTGGTTATTTGCAAGCAAAATGTAATTTAATGTATAGATGATTTTTAATGTCTCCTGACAAACTGTAAATACTATAATTCTTTTGCATATATATTGCTTACAGCTTTTCTCATTTGATATATAGCATTGTACATATTACAAGTCTTTGCAAAACTGTGTGATCTTTGTGAAAGTAGTACAGTATATGGCCTTTAATTTCTTTTTTATTTTAAATATACTGTCACATTGAAGCACTGGTTGGACATTTTAATTCATGTTAATAAATCACAATTATGTCAGTTTTATCAAATTGTCCTGTACAACTTCTGAGATTGGGTCTGTTTAAGCAAGTGTTTTACAAAAGTTTTACTTATTTTTATATAGTTAATAAGGAGCCTTCAATTTTCCTTAGCAACTACTACCTCAAATGGACTGCAGCAAGCGTCAAGAAGCAGTGAGGGTTCCTGTAATGCTTCTGCTGGTCAGTGTTAAGGAGCAGGAGCGACAGGAAACTAGGTTATATAAATGCTCTGTACACTATATCTGACCTCACACAGACTGAACCCATACCATTGCACAGATACTGTTATCCTATATAATAAAAGGCTAATATGCGAATCAACCAAACGTCGGAATGACCAGTAGCTATGACACTCACTGACCACCAAGGGGCAGACACTCAATGCAAGAGCTGTCCCCTGGTGGTCAGTGTGCTCCCACTGAGGGAGCACTGCTCAACCAGAAGCCGGGCTCACGGCTGGCAAGCACCTCTACCTGCCTCCATGGCAGCGCTAAGGATATCCAACTGACGGCTTAGGCAGGCTCCCCGAGGGGTCCCAGACTATGAGGACGCAGGCCCGGGACTAAGGGACACGTGCCCTCAAAGTCTGGGACATGAGGGGACACGCGCCCTCGTTATCAAATCAAATAACTATATAAGATTCTGCAGTTAACACTTCCCCAGTGCGCGAATACCATTGCACAGATACTGTTATCCTATAAGGCTAATATGCGAATCAACCAAATGTTGGAATGACCAGTCGCTATGACACTCACTGACCACCAGGTGGCAGACACTCAATGCAAGAGCTGTCCCCTGGTGGTAAGTGTGTTCCCACTAAGGGAGCGCTGCTTCCCCAGTGCGCGAATGTCGTGCACCAGGCTTCTACTTCACTATAATTTACAACTGTTTCACAATATTGTGTATTTGCCTAAACACACAGGAACATCTAATTTGTACATTTTAAAACAAGTCTAAAATGTCCTGTTGATTAATCAGAATTGTTTGAAACCCTTAATTTAACATTTACTGTCTTGTTTTGGAATTTTAGAAAATAGGATTAAAATTTTTTTGTATATACAAAATTTAAAGGAAAAAGACATTATTCTTAGTTCTCTCAAAGTGATCGTTTTACTGCAAAAATATAAAATGCTAGTTATTTTGAAAAAATAAAAAATGCTTATTCTTTTGTTCTCTACCTTTCAGGGAATTAATTAAGTACAACCAAAAGTAATGACTATTTGTCAAGACTTCTTTCATCATCCAATTACTTGACATAATTTGGCACAGTTTACAAATTCTGTGCATTGAAGAAAAACATAAACAGACTAAAATGACTAAGATTTGGCAATACTGTAGAAGTCATGTTATACACTTTTAATTTCCATTTCCTTTTGAAAATAGCTAATGATAGATCAATCCTAATCAGCTTCAAGCTTTAGGAGAACTGGGTCAACTTTATCACCCTTGCCTTTATTGAACAAAATTCTACTTTGCCAAAAGAAACACTTGTCCAAGAAGAAATGGCTTTCACATTATCCAACCCGACAGTTTTCAAACACTAGGACAAAGTTAACTAAGCATAGTGAAACATTTTCATCTCTTTAAAGGATTTTTAATTCCTCATGGATTGCCTAATAATGTATATAGAACCTTTTCTGTTAATTGCAGAATCTTATATAGTTATTTGATTTGATAATGAAGGATGCATACACTCTCAAAATAATTTACCAGAATTTCATTAAAGTTAAAAATATTAATGGAAGAAAAAGGTGGAATTTAGGAATTAATTTCAATTATAGATAAAAACTAAAGCTCTCTACCCCAGCAGAAAACAATAGTTATGTTAACTATCAATAGATACAGATGATCCAGGAACAGGAAGAAGCAAATTAGTGAATCAGTTTTCACCTTTAAAAATGTATGCTTTCTTTGAAGCTCTTATATTGACCTTTTCTCTGCCTTGGGGAAGTTCTAATTTCCAGACAGCCAGCTTCTGAATCTGCTATAATCCACTGCTTGTCATTTTTCCGTGAAGACTTTACATGGACTAGAGGAAAAGATAGAACATTCGACTAAAATCACTGGCTATAGTGTTTTGTGTTACCGGCAGTTCGTTAGCTTTATATGCATTATCATTAAGTCACTAAGAATCTGCTAAAATCACGCTATACCTAATTCAAACATATATTCTTTATAGAGCAATTGTTCATTTTTAAAAAATCTTGACTTGAAGATGTGTTTCCACTGATTTCAGAGAGAGGGGAAGGAAGGGAGAGAGAGAAATATCCATTTATTACTTCCTGACTGAGGGTCACACCCCCCACCTAGGTATGTGCCCTGACTAGGAATCAAACCTGCAACCTTTTGGTGTACAGGACAATGCTCCAATCAACTGAGCCACCAGGCCAGGGCAAGAATAATTGTTTTTTACATTGTAAACTAGGTGGACTATTTTATCATGAGGAACAGATCCTTCCAAAATTCATAAACTAGTTAAATTTTCTAACAGCCAAAATTGCATTAGATAAATTTCATTCAAGAGTGCTACAGCCCTGAAAAAAATATGGTTCCTATGGAAATGTTGGATAGCATCACTGGTCTATAGCCACCATCTGTCATAGAACCTGTCTGATAACATATAGCCTCATTAGAAAAACATACAAGCACATTTCATAAATGAACAGGATGTTCCACCTCACAGTAATAGGTGATCTAATGCTCACTCCAAAGAGGATTATATGTATTGTTCCCTCACAGTGAACACTGTTGAAAAAAAGAATTTTTAATACTCAAAGTATAAGTAATGTTTTTCATTAAACATAAATGAAAAGGGATCATTGAGACCCTAGGTATTAAATCCTTACTGCAGCATCTTCTCTAAATCCATATCCTGTACCCTTACAAAACAATGAATTACTTCCTTGTATAAAACCTTAATTCATGTTATAGAACTACATTTCCTACAATAGGAATGCTGATATTTACTTTAGTTTTGGGTACACTACACTAAAAGGATAGCAAATGTTTGTTCATTCTACGGATTCAAATATAGGCCAATGACCAAGGCGTTGTCTGGGGGGGGAAAAACCCAAAAACACTTTAATTTTTAAAACAACTGCAAGCACCTCAAACAATGGATTATTGTTACAACACTTGTTCTCTTTTCACAATCTAGTTATTGCAAAGGCATATGGATAAATGTTAATAGACAAAGTCAAGAAAAAGGAGGCACCTTAAATGTAAAATTTAAAAAAAAAAAACTGGCATTCAATCCACTGACTTCTAAAAGAGGCTAAATAGACCTCATATATTACATCCTAAAATTGTATTGCCTACTATGGTTTGTGTCCTGAATTCTATAATTTTAAGGAAATTATAAACAAAACTGTGTGCAACCTGCAAAGGGAAAATCATTTTCTCAACTTCAATGCACAAAAAGACAGTGAAACTAGTAAAACTTGTAGTCACACATAAAAAATGCCTACAGAATGAATGTGATCACTGTTACCTCTGAGTTGTTCGTATTCCGCCCATTACACTGCAGATTGCATATGCCATACCTTGGTTCTAGACACACACGAGCGAGATTTTCCAAAAATATATATTTTTCATTTCACACACTGAACATGTTTCTCTGTCCAGTTTATCTACGTAGACTTTCACTTACAGTGTTTGGAGGAGGCAACACCACATGGTACCAGGCCATCACATTTTAAAAGGGAAATTGCTGCTTTTTTCTTAAAAGTGCTTTTAAAATATGCAAAAATAGAAAAAGGAATGCTAAACTATAAAACGTACTTTAGAATGGGAAGTATGTTTTTTCTCTCTTTAGGTGCCATATAGGGAATGACATAACCCAGAGCTACTCTGTTTAAAATCCACAGAAAAAGGACTGTTATGGAATGAAGTTTGTACAACTCCCTGGAGCTAAGTCCACTGCATGCAACTTAGACTACAAAGCACTCAAGACCTGGTAACTTTTCTGAAACTGGAGTTCCCATCCTATGTTTAATGGAAATTAACATTTACAGGGTGCATTTACATACACTATAATACAGGAATGAGTCCCTTTGCCAGAAGATAAAATTGTACATTTCCTTGCTATTTCTTGGTTCCAACTTGATAATTTCTTAAGATTGTAAATTATATAGTATTCAGCTAAAATATTTCTTCATAAATAGTTACAAAACCTGCCAAAACACAAGGGGGGAAAGTATTTTTCTTTCAAAAAAACAAACTGACATTTGAATGTCACACAAAAAAGAATGCTTAGAGACATGGTATTGTTTCCAGAAGAAAGTGGGTCAGTAAGCTACTAAGCTGAAGATAAAAGACTACCCTTCCTCAGGATCACAGTGCACAAAAGCAAAAGGTCAAACAACAGTACCTCAAAGCAAAATAAAGGTCTGAAGATGAAGCCAGCTCACTTGTAATCCTGTTAAAAGAATGAAAGTCACCGTTTAGGTCCAATGTACTGGAAAACACTTGCTAGCTCAGAATGCTATATTTGTAGAATCTGCTAAGAATTCAGCCAAGGATGCCGAAGGCATTCGCCAGCTGAGGCTCGTTTTTCTGGAACCATTTCTAACATCGGAATCAGGAAATCTGTAAACTGTGCAGCATCTTCATGGGGCCACCCATACTTTTCCACCAGGACATCGAAGAGGCTCCAGGGCTTCAGCTTGGTGATGTGCCGCAGTTCTCCTGCAGGGGAAACGGACATGTCAGGAGAGCTCCCAGCGTGCACTTCCTACCGTTGGTCTAGGCGGGTTCTTCCTATGAAGCAGACACCTACCTGCTTAACGCTATGCAACAACGAAGAGGCCAGCTTTTCTCCTCAAGAATGATCATTACGTGTACCTGAGCGTGTCATCTACAAGTAAGCCTGGCCAATGTAAACAGGCATTAACTTAACAGTGACCAGTTCGCTCACGTGGACTCTAGGTTTTTTTAAATGAGGAGGGCCTGATGAGCACGCCCAAGAGGTTTCCATTTGCAAAACCGACGGAGACACTCCCACTCCCATTTGGTATTTTTTTGCAACTTTGCTTAGAAAAAGCTTTAAGATCATGCTATTTAAACTCCATGGGCCGCTATTTCGCATCCTTCCCTTTGGAACAGTGCTATCCAATGGGAGCGGTGCACTCCATCTGCACTCCAGTGGACAATGCAGGCTGGCTGTGGCTACCGAGCACTTGAAATGTGGTCAGTGTTGCTAAGGCATTCCAGCTTTAATGTGTTTAAATGTAAGTAGCTTGTGGCTAGTCTATGAGGCAGCACAGCTCCAGATGCCAACCTGTATCAAATACCATTCCTTTCTACACACTCGTTGTAAAATCTAAGACATCAGGGCATCCATTTACAAACCTTGAAGTTATTCTTTTCAAACTGTGCTGGCTGCGGTATAAACCCAGGCAGCCCGATGGACATAACAGAATGACTAATAAGCTAGTAAATGGGCAGTAACTGTAAACACTTTTCCTGATAGGAGAAAAAGTGATCTTTAAGCCCTAGGAAAACTTTCATTATGATTAACTCGTTTTCTCTACCTGTTAGAAATCTTCATACACAGCCACCCCTGCCCAGAGAGGCCTCCACGGGGCATACAGACCAGCTGCCCTCCACCCCACACCCTCTCGGGCCCACGGCAAGCCAGAGTCCTGCGGGCACCCTATGGGCACGCCTCATGCCAGGGCCAATTTCTCCCCTTTCACAGTTTAACCAACGCGGGGAATTTTATCATGATATGCATTAACAGACATCCAGTTTTGTGCTTAGAAGGCTTTCTGTTTCACCCACTTATTCAACTCAATTTAGATATGCTCTTCCTCTTTCTTTAACCATAAAGAAAATAAAAGAACATCTCAAAAAATTATAAACACAGCCCTAACTGGTTTGGCTCAGAGGATGGAGCATCAGCCTGCGGACTGTTCGATTCCAGTTAAGGGCATGTACACCTTGGTTGTGGGCACATCCCCAGTAGGGGTTGTGCAGGAGGCAGCTGATTGTTGTTTCTGTCTCATCAATGTTTCTAATTCTCTATAACTCTCCTTTCTGCTCTGTAAAAATAAAAAATTTAAAAAATTTTTAAAAATCAATATATTTTTAAAAATTATAAACACAGAAGTGACTGTAATCCCACCACTGGGATCTTTTCTTCGAGTCTATACTCTTTCTATGTACATTGTTATGAGCTGCTATATCTACAGAGTTGTAATCACGATGTGCACAGAATTCTGAATAAAAACATTTAGCACAGCCGGCATGGCTCAGTGGCTGAGTGTCAACCTATGAACCAGGAGGTCACAGTTTGATTCCCTGTCGGGGCACATGCAGGAGGTAGCCAATCAATGATTTGCTCTCATCACTGATGTTTCCCTTTCCCTCTCCCTTCCTCCTTCAATTCAATAAAAAAACATATATTTTAAAAACCTGTTATTACAGCTTCTGGCTCTTTCGTGAGGACTGTGGACGGAGAAAAGCTTCCAGTCTGCAGGACAGGTCTATTGATATGGGGAAGTGGACCTGCCACCCTCAGACAAAGTCTGAGCAATCATGAATGTTCATCTCCCTCAAACCAAAATTCCAGTTTTAGGGACCAGCATAAGAAAATAAACCCTGGCACACACACCTCCCAAATATGCAAACTGCAAAAGTATATATACTTGCAATATTTCAAATGGTCAGTAATAGGAGAATAGTGTTTAAAGACAATAACTGTGGTATACCTACTTGATGAATATTATTTAATACTACTTAATAACATGGAATTATATGGTAAAATGTTGGTAGTAAAAGAATGAATGTGAAAACTATGTTTTACATGTTGATCACAAGAGTGATCTTCAAAATGCCCATAAAGATATAAAACACGCCGAAACCGGTTTGGCTCAGTGGATAGAGTGTGGGCCTGCGAACTGAAAGGTTGCAGGTTCGATTCCGGTCAAGGGCATGTAACCTGGTTGCAGGCACATCCCCAGTATTATTATTTTTTAATATATTAAAAAAAAAAAGATATAAAACAGGTGCCCCTCCACACACACACAGCACTGTAATAAGATTTTTTTCTTGTATTTTCCATAATGCAGCTCTATTGATTTTATAGTGAATGCTGATCATATCCAAGCAAGGGGAGAAAGTTCACACATAACAGGCTAAGACAAGCTCTCTGGTAACGGGGACACACACACACACACACACACACACACACACACACACACAGACTCCATTTACACTCATCTATTCTGACTTAGAAGAAACACTTTCCAGGTTTGGGAATGAATAAAACTACCCAGAGGCAGTGTCTGCCTGGAACAACCGAGACATGTAGTCCCAGGATCCCAGTTTTTATAGGAACAAAAACCCATCAAGAGACATGAAAGTAAATACACTCTTTAGTGAAAATATGGATTATCCCAAAGATGACTTAAAGTCTGCGTAACAGTGATGAAAACAATTCAGTGCTTAAAGGCTGTGAAAGCTATTCAGTCCTAACTATTAATAGTTATCACAAACTAATAAAATAATATTCCCAAACAGCCTAAAATATCTAACATGACCAGGTAAATCGCACATAAAAAACTGTATGTGCAAATATGCTGCCTATAACGGGAAAATATTCAGAATAGTCCTAAACACCAGTAGGCAGTGAAGACAGAATAATATTGCAATATAACAGAATACCGAATTGCCTCTAAAAAGAATATGTGGATTATGTGGATAGGTGGGAAAAAATACATGATGCAAAAAACTACAATAACAAAAGTATGAAATAAACTCGCCCATGCCCTATGATTACATGACACATTCTTACATTTAACTCAATGATAAGAAATGCTGTCATTTCACTAGCTGACAAAGGTTAAAACAAACCCTCAGCTCCCAAACGTGGAGATCTACCCGTGGCAGAAATGATGAGTACAGGCTCATCGGAGTAGTCAGGCCCCCCTTTCCCTCCAGCCCTGCAAACACCACACAAGAAACAGCACCTGCACCGCCACCACTTACTGTAAAAATAAAATAAGATGTAAGTGGCTCCTACACAAGTTACAGCATTTTTTTTGTTTTGCCTTGACAGTTTTTTCTCTTAGGAAAATATACCAAGATACATTTTGCTGAAACAAATTTTGCCAGTAGGCACTTCATGACACTTCATGGTGATACTCTTCATTTTTAAGCCTTTCTCCCTTCCTATCAGCAGCAGCTCTCACACATGTGTGTGCAAACAGGAGACCAGCGAGGCTACTTACTAGAGGAGCACCCTGCCCCCGGCTGCCTCACCAGCCAGGCCAGTCACGCTGACAGGGAGGGCTCCTCCGGAGCGCAGGCTTTGGGACTGGGACTCTATCTGCCAGTCCCAGATTACCAGGTTACTTTTCAGGGGGAAAAAGTGAAGTACTTCCATTATGTCTCCTAAATATTAAGTGATTTGTGAAGGGGAATAAATTATTCTGTCCATAAAATTATAATATTCCAGAATTATGAGTTTTACACCACATATGGGGACTATGAAGACAAAACCTGGGGCAAGCATGAGTTTTTACACCAAGAACGCTAAATGCATTTCAACTCTGCAGGTCACCTTTAAACAGGCACCTCAAAAAGAACCGTATATGCAAGCCCGCATACGCTGACAAGGGAGAACTCTCCAGCTGTCTGTGCACAGGCAGGAAAGGGCAGACTCCTCAGCCTACCCTCAGAAGGCAGCCCACATGGTGAGAGGGTCAGGCCCGCAGCACTGCTGGGCTGCTCCGCCAGGACACAGCCTGCGGCAGAGCTGACAGGCGGGCACCTCAGGGCAGCACCGCCCGGAGCACAGGCGGCCTCCGGCTGCTCAGAGGCCTGGGTGGGAGCCTGCGGGTGGGAAGGGGAACTTTCTCTCTCGCTCCTGTGGCCCAGACTCGAAGACCAGAGTCTCAGAACCAAAATGAATACCGGATGTCTGATAAACCGTATTCCCTGACAATTCTTGCTCCTGTGGTAAGCCTTAAAAAGGAAGTAAAAAAATAACAGCATCCAGTTTCACATATCACAGGTTGCCCACTGGGTGGTCCCAGAAAAGCTTGGCTGTGGTTAATGTGCTCCAGGAAGTGGAGCAGGTGAACATCTTCCCACGGTCAGTTCTCGGCTTTCCTGTGTATTTAACAGGGAAATAAAACCTACAGGACAAAACAGGATGGTGAGCTGAACATCACCCAAGTGCATAATAAAGGATAACTACCCTAGCCTGGCCACTTTGGCTCGGCGGATAGAGCGTCAGCCTGCGAACTGAAGGATCCCAGGTTCGATTCCAGTCAAGGACATGTACCTTGGTTGCAGGCTCAATCCCTGATCCCCGGCCCTGATCAGGGCTCTTGTGGGAGGCAACCAATCAGTGTGCCTCTCTCACATCAATGTTTCTCTCTCTGTCTCTCCCTTCCCTTCCACTCTCTCTCTAAAACACAATGGGAAAATATCCTTGGGTGAGAATTAACAACAAAAAATAGGGGTAACTACTCTACAAGAATTCCTTTATCTCATGGGAAAATAAAATGTTAAATTGGTACAAAAGTCAGGTTAGGGCAGGGGACAGAGAGTATCTGGGATTTTCAGGGATTTCTGTAACTCCATGTTCTGGTCATACCAATTTTAAAGGTTCTAACAACAATAAAAAAATTAAGCTGAAAAATCATAAATTAAGAGGACTAACTATACTCACACAAAAGACTATAGCACTGGGGAGGGGCTCTTTAAAAATAATACCTTGGTGTTTTTTTTTAAAATAGATCACTAATAAGGGGACTGACTATATCGGGCAAAGAAACAGCTGTTCAAGGCCATGCCAAGGAAGGATCAATAAGAACAATAATATTAAAGTAAAGTCACTTATAATATAATGTGAGGTCCTGCAATGGGAGAGAACAGGAGCAGATTTGCAGAAATTGAGCTCAATGGATGTCACTGCACAGACACCTCACACAGGTCAGAGGACGGCAGTGGGGGTCACTAAGGCAAGGATCTGGGCTGCTGCTGCTCTATGCACAGCACAAAAACATAAAGGTAAGCTTAGCTGGTTTCTAACTCCTCTTATAAATACTTTAGTACACAGATCGGTACTCAGAGCAGGAGAAGAGGTGTGCAGGAGACAAAAGATTTTAGGAAGGCTGTCCCTTACAAAATTCTTACTCCACAGGCTCAGATGGCTCACTCAAGTTTATTTCTTGGGAGCTTTCTTCAGCAGAATACCCCAGCTGTGAAAGTCCAGGTTTTTCTCCAATGCCCAAATGCAAAAGCATAATTTCTCCTCTTGGAAGAGGGTTTTGCTGAAATTAGGGTTGCATAAGTACCGTTACCTTTTCTGGTGAAAAATTCCTTGGAGTATATCCCCAACATAGCGAATTTTCGAGGGATTTTCCCCCAGCAGTTCAATGATCAATGCTATGTGATCTGCATTGGGAAACATTACCAGCAAAACAGAAACACAGGACAGTTTAATCAGCACACAGCATGCAGACACAGCCACTGCCGCAGACAGAAACCGAGCACCTGGGCGGCCAAAGCTCTGGCTCCGCTGTGCGGCCGGGCGGCCCCGCCCAGGGCCCTCAGAGGAGCTGGCGCACAGGTGGCGAGTACTGGGCCACGTGTAGTTTCACCCTCAGCTTTTAAACCGGCACCGAATCCTGCCGGCTGCGTTCTAAATTTAGGAGAAATGCCCGTGTCACCATGAAGGCTGAAACCAGGAGCTGCCATTCCGTTTCTGTCTGCATCGTGGCGCTTTGGAAAGAAGAGGTACTACCTCTGCGATTGAAGAATTCCCGCGAGTATTTTCCAGACAGAGCAAAGTGCCTTGGGATACCGCCCAGCAGCTCTATGATGTGGGCTATGTGGTCTGCAAAGGAGAGAAAAAAGGGTACGGGAATGGGCAGGCACAAGGAAGGAGGGGGTAAAAGAGGGAGAAAACTGAAATTAGTAAAAACTCAGAAATAGATTCAAATCAACAATGTTTGCAGCACACCCATGCAGGGGCCTCAGGCCCCATCGGGAGCATTAACAGTGATGGGTATCAGCACATCCCAGGCCACCCCGCATCGCAAGCAACTCAGCATAGAGATGGCCAGGTCACAGATGGGATTCAAGACAAATCCCCTGGGTTTCAGCTCGGCCCCACACAGGAGAGGAAAACGAGCAGCGGATCAGTGGGCAAAAGGAACACAGAGGCCCGGGCTGTGTACAGCTGTCCTCGTCTGGCCGCTGGGCCGGGGCCTGTGGGCAGCAGGAGGGAGGGCTCTCCGGGAGCTCTGCCCATTCCCTAACACTGAAGGGGCTGCTTAAGCTAAAAAAATAAATAAATAAATCATCTGAACTTGGTGTTCAAAAACCAGTACATAGCTCTATTTCAGAACAAGATACAGTACTCTCCAAAACTTCAGGACCCTCGGGCAGGAGCCCCACACGAAGGCATGGGCAGGCAGCAATACTCACCTTCGTCTCTGGAATAGTCCTCTCCAGAATGCGGTTCAAACAAATAATCTCCCGTCGCCAGCTCAAACGCCTAGAACACAACAGATGACAGACTAAGCACTTCAGAGACTGGCCCCAAGCTTTCCTCCGTGTAAAAGAGACCTACATTTCATAAGGATCTCAATCGGACCAAAAGCCTCTAAAAGGCCTCAACACCCTGTTTTTCTCCCTCCCAAAAACGGTGGAGCTCCATAAGTAACCTTACGTCTCCTTTGCTGGAAGACGGAGGGCAACGCACTGGCCTTACTCAGCGGACGCGGACAGACATGGCCTCGCACCCACACGCGGTGCGGAGGGCCGGCCAGGACCCGTGCTTGGCCTCCAGTGGCTGGAGGAGGACTTGGACCAGGCCGAGGTCTCTGCCTCCAGAGCCTGCCCTCAACCAGCAGGCTAACCTGGGCCCTGGATGCCGTCATCTCCTGAAGCAAAGACCTTCCTGTCCTAGTGACTAAGGGGGCTGTTTTCAGCATCTCCTCGTCATGTCATTCATGTCTGGCTCAACCAAAGGAACGCCTAGCACTAAGAAGCCCTCTGCCCTGTGTCTGGGCGCCGGGAGGAACCTAATCCCCATGCAGCCCTCCGCGGAGGACAAGAAGAGCTGGCTGCCTGGTGGCCACCGTCTGTCCTTCGCACACCTGTGTGGAGGAGGCCACCTGTTCCCATTTCCACCACACACACACAACCTCAGGACTAGGAGTTTAATAATGTGGTAATAATATATATAAAGACAGCAACTACTATTGCTCTGCTGAATGAAGTCCGAGCTGCCCCAGGGCTGCAGCCCGAGGACAGGGCCTCTCCTCTCCAGCCAGTAAACAACCCAACCCCAGGTCAGGGCACAAAACCTCTCCTTTGGCTTCAAGTCCCAAGAGAAACAACTGGATTTCACACTGAATGGCCTTACCTGGGGAAGACTGGGACACAAGCAGTTCAATACCGTACAAGCCCAGAGGGAACCGTAGAGCCCTCACAGGAAAGACCCAAGGCAGATGGGAGCTCCAAGGCAAGTGCCCGCTGCACAGACTCAGACTCGCCATGGGATCCGAGGCTGTGCAGGGCTCTGACCAGACGGAGGAGCCGTACCTCGACCTGCACAGCGCGACAGGCCCCAGGCACTCACACCTGACGCCCCGGCCACGGGGCCTCGTGCTGCCTCTCTGAGGGCTCCGCCCGCAGGAGCGCCATCCCCACTGCAGCCTCCGCAGGGCTGGTGCCGCTTCACTCCCAGCGGATGCTGGGCTTCTCCTCTCCAGAGCTTCACTCGGCTTGGAATTACGGATGTAATATACCGCTATGTTTTTAAACTTGTGATAACAGGGTAGGGATGTGGAAACGTTGCCTCATCTTTACCAGGTTCTCTACTTAGAACAAAGGGAGCCCGGTCCCAGGAGCCTGTCTCAGTCACGACCTTCGGGGACAAGGGGTGGGGGTGGGGAGCGAAGACTGCACCTCCCAGAAAAATCACCCTGTTGGCAAACATTTTCAAACCCTCCTAAGTGGTACCGAGGGAGTGTGCTTTAATTTATTGGGAAGGAAAGGAGGGGGCAGGGGAGCTGCTGGAGGAGACGGTGGCTGAGGCCGAGGCCACCATTCTTCTCCAGCGGAGGGAAGACAGGTACCCTGGCCTGGCCTGTACTGCCTGCTCCACCATTATTCAACCATATCTGTGATCTTGTCCTATTTTTCTGGTTATATCACCAACATTTAACATCCAAAATTAGAAACTCAGGATATCAGAGTTGAAAAAGTTCTCAGTCTATTCAGGGCGACCCTGACGTGGCCCTTTCTGTGCTGCTGGAACAAGCGAGGCCTGACCTCACCCGCCTGAAACATCTTCCCACGCAGCTCCCACAGTTCAGAGCCTCCCTCTCCCGTCCCGCCCCCACAGCCCTCCCCGCCCCCACAGCCCTCCCGAGCCACACAGAGCGTCTCATCCCTCTCTCCAGCAGGCTAGAGCTTCAGAGGAAACACCGCATTTCCACAGACTCTTTTCCATTCCCAGTCACAGCAATGCTTTGTTTTTGATACTTACTGAGAAACTCAATTTTCAGAATTATCTGGAATTATCCATCAGAGCCACATGGGAACAGAAAGGCAAAGTTTCAGTTCTGTTTGCCTTATCTGTTGCCTCAGATCATGCTAACCTGCTAACATCTACTTTTTTTCATATCGTTTTAGTGCTATTAATAATGCTTTTGCCAGAGCATCAAGGACAAATAATCCAACAAACTCAACTGTTATATTCACCTTTGAATAACAGTAGATTTAATTATTCAGCATTTTCTGAATGAGACACGTGCCTAGCTTTGCACACATGTCTTTGCATTTCAACATCAGAGGAGAAGGGGGGTGGGGGATGAAATAGGGAAAGCATGAACTGCCACTCTAATCAACACACACTCTGTTTCCAACACATGACTCCAGCACAGCCATGAGGAGGAAGGTGCTGAGCAAACAGGGGAGAGGGCCAAAAGAGAGAACCGAAACCGGCTTATGGATGGCGCACGTTCATCAATTCACGTGTGAGGAACGAGAAAGGAGGCCTGGAGGAGCCTGGGGAGAGCTAGGCACCACTCAACTCCTGGCGCACCAAAACGGCCGTGGAAAAGGACGGACCAGGTAGAAGAGAGACTCTGAGGCCCAAGGAGAGCATCACCGTGTCCTCCACGGAGGTCCGGTCCCAGGGGCCTGTCTCCAAGCAACTGGACAGCCCCAAACAAGAAGCCAGGGCACTCTCTAGATCTGACTTTATAGAAAAATACGAGACAAAACATGGTAGAGGGGGTGACCTTCCTCTCCAGTAAGGCCTGCCAGGGGCCTCCACACGCAGACAATCATCTGCTGGACCACAGTGTGAGTGAAGCATGAAGCCGCAGGCAACCTGCAGGCTCTCAGCCGCCGGAGGAATTAGCTAAGTCACTGGCACCACAGCGGAGGGTCTGATTCTCAGGGTGGCTGCCCAGGGTCTTGAGAGGACACACCTCTCTCCCAAGCCCAGACCAAGCCCAGCACATGCCCGAGAAGAGTTCTTCCAATTCTGAGGACACTTAAGGCAGCAACTCGCCTTCCCCCGCCCCCAGTGGACAGCCTTCCGCGGACGGCAGCACCGTGAGACCTTGGCCGGGACGGGCCCCGGTGATGAGCCTCCTCGGGAGGCAGTGGCCCGCCGCCCTTACCATGCACGCCGTGCTCCAGATGTCCGCGGGAGTGCTGTACCCCGCGCCGATCAGCACCTCTATGGACCGGTACTGCCGCGTCTGGATGTCCTCCGTGAAGTGTTTGTGCTGAAAGGGAACACACCGCATTACCAGGGCACGTTAAAAAGGAAAACAGCATCTTCTACACGACCATGACCAGAATGTTTTACAAAGAAAATTCCACTTACCACCCAACAAGCATTTCCCAGGTCAGCAATTTTAACTCTAATTTTATCGGCGTTCCGTGGGTCCAGGGGGTTCACCAGTAAGTCGGCTGCCCGGGTTTTGGCTGGCATGAGCAAACAGCAGGACAGTTAGTGCGGGGGGCGGGAGAGGAGGGTTGGCAGGCGTGCACACACGTCTGCTGGGAACAGAGCCTCTTTTTCCAGAAAAGTGACGGGATGGTCATTTAGGCCTGGAACTCTGTAAGCTGAACTCAACAGATTTTAACATCTGTGGTCTCTATCTCTGGAAAATATTTCACAAAAAGGAACACACTAGGCACTGCCCGCCCTTTATCCTTTGCCTGGATTCCCTCGCCCCTCGGACCAGCCCGGCCGCTCAGCTGTGAGGGCACAGGCCCGGGGCCCATCGCTGCAGACACAGCACAGAGCGCCCCCGGGAGGCACTGTGTCCTCGTACCTGCACCTCCTCGCTCCCTCTGCTCGGGGTGGTAGCTGATGCTAACAAACAGATTAAAGGCCAGGAATCGTCAGCCTGGTTAGCATTGGACAAGGAATATTCCAGAAGAGAGATTTCTTGAGAAGACCTGGTTTGTAAGGCAAACCTCTGAGGTCCTTCACGATAGTCTGGCCCAATAATCAGCCCCCCTCAATCCCAGAGGGACCCTGAGAGAACCTCAACGGTCGGCACAAGGCCAGCTCCTCAGGACTCTGGGGACAGGAGAGTATCTCAGACACGTCCGCACATGCCTGCGCCACGCAGTTAACATGGGGCCACTAACCACGGAAGTAACCTGGTACCCGAGGCCCCGACAGCAAACCCTGGCGTTCAGTCAGCATCTTCAGCAAACCTCAACTCCTACAAGCTCAGGCTTCTGGAAAGGATGAGGCACAGCCATGGCTTTCGCTTTGGAATTCTGAAGTGGTTTTTACAGACTAAACAGAACATTAAGCACCCTTTGCTCAGGCAAAGCTGGGCACTGCCAAATGGACCAAACCTCCTGGGGTGCATCTGTGCCAGGAAGCCATGGCCCCGAAGGAGGCGCTGACGCCACGGCACCCCGGGCAGCGGGGCCGGCCCTGCTCACTGTCCACAGGGGGGGCAGCGGGGCCGGCCGTGCTCACCATCCACAGGGAGGGGAGCGGGGCCGGCCGTGCTCACCGTCCACAGGGAGGGGAGTGCCCGGCCGTGCTCACCGTCCACAGGGAGGACAGCGGGGTGCCCGGCCGTGCTCACCGTCCACAGGGAGGGCAGCGGGGCCGGCCGTGCTCACTGTCCACAGGGAGGACAGCGGGGTGCCCGGCCGTGCTCACTGTCCACAGGGAGGGGAGTGCCCGGCCGTGCTCACTGTCCACAGGGAGGACAGCGGGGTGCCCGGCCGTGCTCACTGTCCACAGGGAGGACAGCGGGGTGCCCGGCCGTGCTCACTGTCCACAGGGAGGACAGCGGGGTGCCCGGCCGTGCTCACTGTCCACAGGGAGGGCAGCGGGGAGTGCCCGGCCGTGCTCACTGTCCACAGGGAGGGCAGCGGGGAGTGCCCGGCCGTGCTCACTGTCCACAGGGAGGGGAGTGCCCGGCCGTGCTCACTGTCCACAGGGAGGGCAGCGGGGAGTGCCCGGCCGTGCTCACTGTCCACAGGGAGGGGAGTGCCCGGCCGTGCTCACTGTCCACAGGGAGGGGAGTGCCCGGCCGTGCTCACTGTCCACAGGGAGGGGAGTGCCCGGCCGTGCTCACTGTCCACAGGGAGGGCAGCGGGGTGCCCGGCCGTGCTCACTGTCCACAGGGAGGACAGCGGGGTGCCCGGCCGTGCTCACTGTCCACAGGGAGGGCAGCGGGGCCGGCCGTGCTCACTGTCCACAGGGAGGGCAGCGGGGTGCCTGGCCCCCAGAGCAGACACAGCCCCGCAGGAGGGCCCGAGCACATGGAGAGGCTCTGGGTAACGGTTGAATCCTCAGGCTGTGGACCAACAGGGCGGGCAGACTCACGCTCCCTTCCTGCTGCCTGCCCAGTGCCCACTTCCCTCTTTATAAAAAGGCTGATCACCAGGGGCCCCATCAAAGGCCAGATCTGCATTCAGAAGAAACACAGGAAACTCAGAAATAAGAAGGAAAGCAGCCCACAAAAGGGACAAGGTACACACCGAACAGAGAATGGGCTGAAAAGGCAGTTCCGGGAGAAACATAAAACGCTGCCCGGGTGGATGCATGGGCAGCATGTGAAGGCGGGACAAATCCTGTGGCCTCGGTCGGAGAGGCGGCAGGCAGGAGCCCCAAGTCTGGGGGCTGCAGAACTGAAGTAAAATCTACGTCCCAACACTTGTAAGTTCTAAGACTCTGGCAAACGGCTGAAGCTGTTTGAGACGCAGGGACAAGGAGGGAGAGGAAGGGACCACCTCCCTGCACCCGCAAACACGCGTGCACAGATGCGCACGGGGGCAGGCAGTGTCTGGCCTTAGACCCAGGGCTCCCCCGCCTGCTCCAGGGACAGGCGTTCACCCCCTGGCTCAGGTGTGCAGACCAGGACCACCTCACAAACGGCACTATGGAATTTACCTTAACATGTGGCTGTATAAAAACACAGAGAAGGTAAAAGAGAACTTTCTTCTGAGTACCTGACTCTAATAGTAAAAAAGCAATTTAAACATTTACACAATGGAATACTACACAGCTGTAAAAAAGAAAGAACTCTTGCCACCTGCAACAGCACAGATGGACCTGGAGAGAATTATGCTGAACAAAAAGTCATTCAAACACAAGTCCGATCATGCCCGCTGCACAGTCACACCCATGTTACCGCCACCAAGGAGTGGAGAGTGGGCACAGAGAGGTGGGAAGGGCAGCGGCCCTGAAGCCATTCCTGATAAACTGGTCTCAGGGTGACACTGTGTTCCCTCACCTGAACCATCCTAAAAACTAATAAGATGACAGCCAGGGGGGGCCTCTGAGTGACAAAACAGCCGCCATCACTGAGCTGCAAGGCTCTATTCTAGGCCCAGATTGACACTTATTTCATTCATTCATTTTAAATCCTCATGCAAGGCCATCTTCTCCATTGATTTCTAGAGATTGAAAGGGGGGAAGAGAGAGAGAGAAAAAAATATCGACGTGAGAGAGACATATCAATTGGTTGCCTCCTGCACATGCCCTGACCTGGGGCTGGAGAACCTATAACCAGGGTACAGGTCCTTGACTGGAAATCCGGGAATTGAACCTGACACCCTTCAGTCCATGGCCGATGCTCTAACCACTAGGAAAAGCCACAATGATACTTTAGTTTAAAACATCTATACATGGGAAGTATGAATGTCCTCTTGATATGCAGATTCAGTTCCAAATGCACGAAGCAAAAAAAGGAGATTTAGTGCCCAAACCTGATCCATTATCTGTCCCAGGTGCTGTCTTGGCACAAGAAACAGCATGAACAAGAAAAATGAGGTTCACCCACCACACCCCACATTAGGTAACTCATGTACTGGCTGGGAGTACGGGCAATAAAGTAAACAGAATGAGTCACACAACATGTCAGGTGGCTCTATATAATGTGAAGAAAAGCAAAGCAAAGACAGGAGCTAGATAATGGAGGGTGTTCAGAGGCGGTCTTTCCTGAGATGGGAGAGGCCTGAGGAAAGGAGGGAAGGGAGAAGCTCTAGGCAAGGGTGGTGGAGTGCAAAGGGGCACCAACAAACCCGCTGGTACTCCCCAGAGGAACTTGAGAACAAAGCTGGTGTGGGAGGTGCAGAATGAGCACAGGAAATAGGCCCAGGAGATGCTGGGAAATGACAGGGAGGGAGGAGCCAAGGAGCAGCCGGCAAGGAGCTGTACGGAGCTGTAAGCATTCGAGCTGTACCTCTGGGGCATGCTCATTGGAGGGTTGAGCTTTAACAAGCTCTCTCCTTGGACTGCTCTCCAGAGAATGGCTACGGAGCGAGAGCAAAGTGAGATGGCAGGGAGGGAGCCTGTGTTAGTTACAGCAGCCTGGGCAGGACTGACAGTGACACAGTCACTATTAGGTGAGAGGAGGGATCCAAAATATACCAATGAATTTCCAGGGAAAGCCGACACAACCATCTGCCCCAGGTCTCCGCCCCTCGGCCATGATGAGCCAGGGTCTAGTCTATGGATCTAGCAGCGAACAACCCAAGAGGAATCCTGCATCCTCTCCTCAACCTTCCAGGAGGAAGTCCAATTCCTCAGCTGGAATGTACGTCTTCCCTCAGACTTCCCACTCTGGCCTGGTTCTTCTTCACCTACGCTCTGCTGTAATAAGAAGGATCTAACCGAATTCTAAATAAAGCTTGTTTCTCTTGCCTCCTATTCATGAAGTACTAAGTGGCACCCCTCAGCCTCTGGATCACACCCCTTTCTCGCAGGAAACACCTCCCATGGGTGCAGGCCCATGGTTATGAACAACCAAGCTAAAAACCAAAACAGAGTACCTCCCAGCACATGACTGGATGAGGAGATCCTGTCCCTGCTATGTCCCTAGAATCTGACAAAAGGGCTGTTTGATAAAAGGAGAATGGGCTCAGAAAAGAAGAACTTCGCCCTCACCGGTTTGGCTCGGTGGACACAGCGTCGGCCTGCAGACCCAAGGGTCCCCGGTTCGACTCTGGTCAAGAGCATGCACCTTGGTTGCTCGCTCTTCCCCAGCTTGGGCCCTGGTTGCAGGAAGCAACCACTCGATGTGTTTCCCTCTCTTCCACTCTCTCTAAAAGATCAACGGGACACACACACACACAGACCTCCTACTTCTGCCCGTCTCAGGCAACAGACAGGTGCTGGGAACGGAATGCGTGTTGGACAAAGTGAAATTCTGATTGTGAATGGAAAACAGTGGGAGAAAGGAAAGAGTAGAAGAATGTAACCAAATATCCCTGATGTGTTTGTTCATTACTCGACAAATGTTTATCTTAGCGTCAGGTTAGATGCTGAGGATATAAAGAGAAAGATACATGGCACTTCCAGAGAGATCTTACGTCCTAGGGAAGAGAAAGATAATGGAGAGAACAGTGCCCTTGCACGTAGGGGAAGTTGACCGGTAGGGAAAGAGGGGAAAGGGATAAGGCGGGCAGGGAACACAGGACTTGTGTTTGAGCTGCTACCTGACCAAACAACGGAAGTTTGCCAAAAGCATGGACAACGGATAAACAGAGGAAACATTCCAGGCCAGCGGGAAGCACAAGCGAAGGGCCAGAAGCAGGAGTGAACATGCCTGTGCACACAGGCGCTTGTTATTGTGTCTTTAAAAAAGGGGCGAGGCTATGCTACACTGGTGCCCAGCAGTCCTGGCAGAGTGGAAGGAGCCTGAGAGTGAGGAAGACACGCAGAGATCAGCTCTTCCTTAGATGAACCTACAGCCCAGGTGAAGGGTCTTGTAAGCATCTTTAAAAATTCTGCTCAGAGTAAAGCTAACCCGGTCAGAACGTGTTTGGCAAGGCGGCTCTTTGGGCCCTCCCCCCGGCTGCAGTGGAAGGGCTGAGAGCTGGCGGGGCTACCTGCAGGCTGGCTCCCCTGCAGACTGTGTGCGTGTAAACACTTGTCAGCAGAGGGAGCAGAGGTTTGTGAGGCCAGAATGGAAACTAGCCATGGTGCCCAGGGTTTGCTTACTGAAATCCCTTGGCAGGTCACGGCAGGGATGTGTCATGTGGCATTCACTCCCGAGTAAGGTTTGATATAAGTCGTCATCACATTTAAATCCTTGCCACTGCCTTTAAAATGGCAACAACCAAGTCCTCTAATCAGGAACAAGTGTCAAAGGAAAGAAAGCCCTTCTCAATCAGACAAAGAACAGGCGCCTTCCTCTTTGAATAGAAACAAACCAAACCAAAAACTAAATATTACAGATGGAAGCACAAATTATAAATTAAACTACACATTCTAGAAAGCTACAGCTGTAAGTTCTTAAATGTGGAAGGTTCTTAGATGATGTCATTAAATATAGAGAGAATGAGACAAGCTCAGAAATGGATCCGAGACGTAGAGAGCAAGAGAAAGTGGCACAGAGTATACTTTATGTGACACTAGTTACTCACGAGTACACAGACAAAGTGGAAGTGGTTGTGGCACACAGACCTGGGCTTCCCCCTCCAGCCAGTTCCCTCCTTTGTCGGTGTGACTCCATCCACGGAGGCAGGGACCTGACGGGGAGGGACACTTACTTTTTGGCAAATCCCCAGTGCTGGAGGCCGAAACCGTCCTGCTCCTGTCGTGGGTCGGGCTGCTCTCCTCCGGCTCGGTGAGCGGGGATCCGTCGGAAAGTGCAGAGCCACAAGCCACGGGTTCTAAGGGCCCGGGGGACAATGACGTGGGAAACTCTGGAAACTGTGACTCGGGCATTTTATGTCGTCCGTTTGGCAATTCACCATTGAATTGTTCGTAGGAGCTGCTGTATGTGTAGTCACTCTCTGCGTTGGGCTCGTCCAGGTTATACTCCTCAGGGTTTGGGCAATCTTCGTCATCGTCGTCTTCGTCATCCAGCTGCTGCTCCAGCGGGAATGGGCCGTTCTCAACGTGGCCGTTGGTTTTGGGTAATTCTATCCACGTGGGGTCTATGTTCTCGAGCTCCTGTTCTCCGTCATCTTCATCCTTCTCAATGTTTTCCTTCTCAGCATCTTCTTTCTCTTCCTGCTCCTCAGCTTCTCCTTAAAAGGATGAGAGTGGAGAATTAGAACTCGTTAACCTCCTTACCACACCAAGTACTAATCTCCTCCAACAAGAGAGAACGCTCAATGTGCTTAACGTGTGCGCTACACAGCAAACAGCGCGCAGCTCTCAGGGTAGTGTCCCCAGGTTTCCCAAATCTTAACTTGCATTTATTAAGTAACTGGTCTTCTCTTATTAGAAAGAGTTAGCTCCTGGGGGAAAATGATCTAATAGTTTCATTTCCATTTCTACGGTCTCCTGTGTAACCCTCAGGGAAGGTTTGTGGATATAGTCCTATTAGGTGAAAGGTTAATTACAAAATAAGAGACAATCATCAGCATGACAGAGACATGGAGTTTCTCAAATATTTCCCATGTTTTAAAAAAAACTTGTGAAAATATTAACGTTTTCTGGCATCCATTTTACAAATGAATTAGCAGACAGTTCCCCATCTTCCTGGTGAGGAGTTAAGAGAGAACCCTCCGCACATCTGCAGCAGCTCAGCCCCCTCTGTGGTGGCCCGGGGAGGGTCCCTCTTAGCGAAGCCCCTTCTTTCGGGCGACTGACCGTTGTCCAGTGCAGGCTCTCCCTCGGCGGCCTCCTCCAGCGCTGCTGCTTTTAGCTTCACCTCTGGGCGGTATTCATCATCTTGCTCATTAGAAGGTACAGCTGATGTGACATTTTCTTCTATTATTTTCCTTTCGGCTTCGCGCTCCAATTCTTCTATTTCCTGCAGGCGCTTTTCCAGTAACTCAGCCTGCCTTTTCTGCTTCTTTTTCAGTTTTTTCTTTTTGTTTTTGGAAATTTTTCCTATCTACAGCATGGTAAGAAAATACCACAGGTCAGTTTGCTTCTTTTGAAAGCACTGTGCAATAGTATAAATGCTGGCAGTATAGCAAATACCAACAAAGTCTGTTGTTTTTCTTCAGATCGTATTCAATTAAAATCACATGCCCAGACATGAGATCCACCTGGTGGCTAGGGTTACAGTCAGACCAGAAAAAAAGGAACCAATGTAATATCAAATAATGGGTCCTACTATTATATCCTAAGAGGATATAGTTTAAGTCCAATTAAGTCTTTTCCATTCAAACTCTGAGAAGTACTGAATATGCTGAGATAACAAGCAGCATCTCTTGCTAGTTTTATGTGCTGCTGCCAGTATACAAAGTAACGAAAGTCCCCTCTCCCTGCTGCCTCACCACCTTGCCTGCCAAAAAAGACAGGCCTGCCAAACAGGTGTTTCATTCACAGGTAGTCAACAGCTCTGTTTGTGTTTGGGTCTCACATACTGAGCTGTTATCAATACCAAGGCTGCATGAATACAGGAGGTGAGCCCATGAAGTAGAGGAAGAAAGAGAAAATGTCTCCAATGATAGGCACCTAACTTGGAAACTACCAGCCATGAGAACCTCCAGTTTTCACAGACCAAAGCAAGCTGCTCCAGCCGTGGGGAGCTGTGGGGAGCTGTGGGAGCAGCATGGCTCTCTGCCTCAGCAGCCAGGGGGCGCAGTTAACACCACTCCTCTTCCACTGGGACTGCCATTCCCAGCTGAGGGCTGTGGCAGTTGGGATTCCTCTAACTCTGTAGGTGATGAGACAGATATTCAATCGTCCCCTGGACCCAGCGAGGGTCAGGGCTGCTGGGCAGGGTTCATTTCCAGGCAGCCTGCTTCATTTGACTGAACATAGTGTTTTCACAGGACCACAAAAAAGACAACCCCTCTCATGTTTAACCACTAGCTAGGGAAAAAAATTTAGAGCTGCATTAGAAAAACAGGTAACTTGGAAGCCAATGAGAAATAAGGAAAAGTGTTTTCAGAATCCCACTCCAAACTCTATCACCTCACATTTCACTAAGCTTGGCAACAGCACTCCAGAAAGCACGAGAGGAAAATGAAAATCAAACTTGGAACCGCTCTAAGTGTAAAATTCAGTTCAGCTTACCAAAAGCAGTTTAAGTCTTATATGCAAGGATACACAGCATTTATAAACACACCTGTGTATTACATGACTATATGTTAGGACATCTATGATTGAGAAAGGAGCCAAAGCAATATATCACCAAATTCCCTCCACCAACCTCTACATGAAAAATTGTTGCAGAAAGAAACAAACTACTGTTACACTGTGGAAAGTTAGTAATGAGCAGTTGCTTTTAAAAATAGTACTTACAGGTTTTTGCTGTGGAGCCGTACTCACTAAAACAAAACAAAACAAAAATGACTGTTTAGAGGGAAATTGATACATATCCTTATTTGAATTGTAAAATGAGATAATTACTGCCTTTTAGTGGCTATCCAACTTCAACAACTTAAATACTAGAGCTTCTGTATCAAAGAGATCTAAAGAATGTTTACCAAACTCAAATGAATGATTGGTTCTTTAAAATCATAGCAATAGCTGTTCAATATGGAACCATTTCTCTTATCTAAAATCAAATAGCCACTTAAAAAGTAATAAATAAAATGAAATGAAATAACCATTCATTTCAGAAATAGTCCATCCAAAAGCATTAATAACTTAAGAATGGAGAAAGGTTCACAAAGGAAGTCATTGAACCAACTTGTTTTGTAAACAATGAGACAATTTAGATGAGATGTACATTTATGTTTGAAAATTAGCAAGTTGTACCACTAAAGTAAGTAAATATTGCAGCAAATATTTTAAAAATCAAATGATCAGACCTTGCCAGCCTCAAAAGCTTGACAGACTAAAAGGCTCCATGATAGTACCAATCAGAAGGATATACACACTCCTATGTTCATAGCAGCACAATTCACCATAGCTAAGCTAAGATTTGGAAACAGCCTAAATGCCCATCTGCAGATGAGAGGATTAGAAAACTGTGGTACATCTACACAATGGAATACTACGCTGCTATAAAAAAGAAGGAACTTTTACCATTTGCAGCAGCATGGATGGAACTGGAAAGCATTATGCTAAGTGAAATAAGTCAGGCAATGAAAGAAAAATACTACATGATCCCACTCATTTATGGAAAATAAAGAACATTATAACCTGATGAACAAAAAGATAGACACAGAGGCAGTAAAGCATCAGACTGTCAAATTACAGCGGGAAAGCAGGGGAGTGTTAGGGAGGGGGAAAGAGATCAACCAAAGGACTTGTATGCATGCATATAAGCACAACCAATGGGCACAAGACACTGGGGGTGGGTGGGATGAGGGAATGCGACAGACGGTAGGGGAGGCTGGGGGAAGGTCAATGGGGCAAAAAAGGAGATATATGTACTACTTATGTAATACTTTAAACAATAATAATAATAAAAAATAAATAAAAACAGAGGCAAAAATAAAATGGCTTCATGATATAGAAAAACACTGATGGTAGAAAATAAGATTCAGAGGCGCTACATCGCCCAAGAGCCCCTGAGTCACAGGGATGCAGCCCTGAGTCTGCTCGCCTGCCTGACTGCATGGAGCACACACACTGTGAGGAGAAGGTGAGAGAACAGTCAACCCCTCACTGCCACCTTTATAGTCAGGGAAAAATAGAAATTAAACTTGATGTGCCAATTCTCAAGTCACTTGGGTCTTTCCCTCCGTCCCTGGGGTCTGTAACTGATTCCAAACCCACTAGGTAGACTCTGACTGATGTAACTATGCTAACTGGAGACTAGGAGGCATGCTGACAAGCCTGAAGCTAGAAAAAACTCTGATGACTGCATAATGGCTACGTAAGACCTGCTCCTACATATTCTTCTGCTGAGAACTGGGCAACAAAAGGAAATGTGCAAAGGTAAGAACTGACCTTTTAAGGGAGAACAAAGTTAAGAATTCAAATGTGAAAGTGTAATTTGAAGCATCTTCCTTCTGAAGAAAAAATGTCTAGTTATTTCTCTCCATCAGATTCTTACAAAAGTTCCTAACATGTACACAGCTGCCTCCACTGCCTTCAGTGTGCAGCTATGCAGGCTCTCAGTGTTCCCGGACTGACTGGGACGAAGCTGGCTGGGACCCTCACCTGCAGACCCTGAAGGAGGAGGAGCACCCGCTTTCTGCCACTCTGTGGCCTCGGCTGCCATTCTTCGCACGTACGCATCATCCACACACATCAAGATGTTTTCTGGCTTTATGTCAGTATGAATGATCTTGCATTTACTGTGTAGATAATCTAACCCCTGAAGTACCTGATCACAACAAAATCAAGAGAGGAGATAAGTTACTTATACATTTATTAGTCAACATTTACTTGTAAAATAGGTAATATTATCACAAGACAAAAAAGGATATTTAGTAAAAATCTCCTCCCACCCAGCTCTTCCCACCAGCAACCCAAGTGTATCATTCTGGGGATAATTTATGCTCATGAAAATAAATACATCTATATATACATCTATATTTATGTTTTTTAAAAAGACTTACTGATTTTTAGAGAGAAAGGAAGAGGGAGAAAGAGAGAAACATTAATGTGAGAGCGAGACATCAATTGGCCGCCTCCTGCATGCTCCCTACCAGGGATCAAGCCCAAAAGCCAGGCATGTGCCCAGATTAGCAATCAAACTGGCCTTTCGGTGCCTGGGAGCCACACCAGCCAGGGCTATAAATACTTTTATAATAACTTTATTGAAATATAATCTAGATACCAAACAATTCACCCTTAAAAGTGTATAATTCATTGGTATTTAGATGTGCAGCCATAGCCACTATCTAATTTAGAGCACTTTCATTACCCAAAAAGAAACACTATACTCACTGGAAGTCATTCTCCATCCCCTCCAAAATCCTCCAGCCTTAATCAACCACTAACTTACTTTCTATCTTATTCTGGACATCCTATATAATAAGAGGTAAAATGCAAATTGACCCTCATGCCCTCGCACAAGATGGCCACTCCCATGTGGTCAAAGATGGCCGCCACAAGATGGGCAGCAGGAGAAGGTAGTTGTGGGTGAACAGGCCAGCAGGGGAGAGCAGTTGGGGGAGATCAGGCTGGCAGCCAGGCAAGCGGTCAGGAGGCAGCAGTCCTGGATTATGAGAGTGATGTCCAACTGCCATCTTGCATCCGGACATCCCCCAAGGGTTCTCAGACTGGAGAGGGTGCAGGCTGGGCCTCCCCTCTCTACCCCCACCCCCAACACAAATTTTGTACACCAGGCCTCTAGTTTTATATATAAGTGAAATCATACATAGTGGTCTTTTGTAAGTGGTTCATCCATATACAGCATGTATCAATGCTTCGTCTTTCCTTTTCATTGTTAAACAAGGTTCCACTGGATATACCACATTTTATCGAGCCATTCACTTGATGGACATTTGGGGCTTTTCCACTTTGGACTGCTATAAATAGAACTGTCATGAACATTCACATACAAGTTTCTGTGTGGGTATATTCTTTTATTTTTCTTGGGTATATATCTAGGAGTGCAACTGTTGGATCTTAAGGTAACTCTATGTTCAGCCTTTTGATAAATTGCCAAACTGTTTCATATAGTGGCTACACCACTTTCCATTCCCAGTGGCAATGTGTGAGGGTTCTGATGTCCTCATGGCTAGCACTTTCTCTGTCTTTTTCATTTCAGTTACTGTAGTGGATAGGAAGGGTATATCGCACTGATGACTAATGATATGCATATATTTTTAATACTGCATGAAAGGAGGTCAAAGTTTTTCTGGACTTACTTCTACTGGAGAGGAATTTTTTCAATTATTAACATAAGCAATTATTTTTAAAATACAGATCGTGTTCCTATAAATTAGAAATTCAATATGCTCAATAAATATTAACATTTAAAAAAGATCATTAAACCATTTTAAACCACTCAGGGGTCTTGTCCACAATACACAAGTGGGGGAAAAGATAAGCAGAAGATATATAATATCACCCAACTCTGGAAAGTTCACAGCAAAAACCAACACTCTGTCTACCTTGAGTATCTGGTTAAACAACCTTAGCAGACAACACAGCATCAGAAAGTGAGGGTACAGAGATTTCAAAAAGAGAAAAGAGAAAGACCTGTCTCTCAAACAGGATGAAAATCTCTCATCTAATCTTATCCCCCCTTTTGTAGCCACACACTATACTACGTGTTTGATACATAGCAATAAACAAAGTCCCCTGGCTTCATGCGCTTACACAGGCCTCATGTTATCAGAGAGCTTACTGCTTCACGCCTGGGGAGAAAGGGGTAGGCCAAGAAGAAACCAAGTTGAATCATGGGCACAGTAAACACAATTTAGTATGTGGACGCGTTCCTAGTAATAGTACCAGTAAATGTCAACACTTATCCTAAAAAATCTTTTCACCTCCTTCTTATCCTCAAATAGCTTTTATCTTTCTACCTTAGGTCACTCACATTCTCAGGTTGTTTCACCCTGTGGGAAGCTACACCCTACCCTGTTTCCCCGAAAATAAGACAGTGTCTTATATTAATTTTTTCTCCCAAAGTTGCACTAGGTCTTATTTTCAGAGGATGTCTTATTTTCAGGGAAACACGGTAGGTACAAGTTCATGAGATTCACTATCCAAATATGTTCATATGAGTTCCCCATAACAATGAGGCTATCCAGATGAACAAAGTGTTCTCAGCAAGAATTTAAGAGTCCAGATTTTTTAAATGTTGCTATTGCACACAACTGGGTTAACTTTCATTAAGAAACATAGTTTGTAACATCTGACTATGAAAATAAGTAAGACTTCACCACTGGAACAAATTAAGTTAATTAAGATTATGTAAGTCATTAAAGGAAAGAAAAAGGTTAAGAGATGAAGCTATCTGAGCTTCCATTTTCATATCTGTGAAAGGGAGGAATATATCTATTAGAAATTTAGTGAGAATTAGAAATAATCTGTGGAAATCATAAAAACAAGGTCTAATTTACAGGAAGCTCAAAATTAAGTGACATAACTGAACAAAGCCAGAAGACTTGAATTATTGACTATATAACTATAACTTGACTAAGTCATTTCTTAAACTTCTCCAGTCTCAAGTCTCCCATAGCTAATATGAATGGGCTCTACTTGGTATTCTCTGTAGTACCATAATAAAGTTACAAAATCTGATTCTGCAGTTTCTTTTCATTCTAGATTACTATTTTTTAAAAACCTTTAGCTGTAAGCTAAGAAGAATAGGTTTGTTTGTTTGTTTTTAAATGCCATTTCTGTCCTAAGCAACTGAGGTTTAAAGCAATAAAACACCCGAGAATCCAGAATCCAACAACAATGGCAAATCTTACAACCATTTATGCAGAATTACCATGATGATGGAAAAAAACAAAACAAAAAAAAACAACCCAAAAATCTATGAAGCAAGCTTCATGCTCAAGGATAGATCTCCCCCTGAAAATTCTGAAAAATTGTTAAAAGGAGCTTTTACTAATTTCCCCTCTGTTGCCTTCATTTGTCAAATCTTAAGTGTTTCACTCTTGCCTTAAAAAAAAACCACACATATATACTTGGCCTCGGCAGCAGGAGGCAGCAGAGGCTGCACAGACCCTTGGGCTGCTTTGACAGCTGAGCTCCATCTAACCACAGATGGGCCAGGTCAGGGCTGCATCCACTAAGGGAGCCCACACACCCTGCCGGAGCAGGGGCCTGTTTTCTCCACAGGAGTCAGGCACACAGGTCCGCAGCAACACAGAAATGAAGGCAGAGCCCAGGGCGGAGAGCAAGAGATGCCCCAGGTCTCAGTCAGGAACTACCTACCCAATGGCTCAGAGCAATTCCCTTCTCTCAAGTTCAGCTATAAAATGAGGGGTTTGGTCAAGACTGCCTCTAACTTTTTTTCTATCCACCTATGAACCATGTCAGAGCTCATCTGGCATTAGCAACATAAATCTGCTCCCATCCACTATGGCCTGTTGGAAATAGAAGTTGAGAGTAATGTAAAGACTTCTCTCAAAGGCATCTATCTCCCTGGCCCTGCACATGCACCACCCAGACTGATGCTGTCCCCAAAATCCTAAACTGCAAAGAGAAACAGAATGAAGACTGCAAGTCAAGATGACAGCGTAGGTGAACACGGTACTCACCTCCTGCCACAACCACATCAAAATTATAACTAAACTACAGAGCCATCCTTCAGAACCACATGAAATCTAGCTCAATGGAAATCCTACAACTATGAAATTAAAGAAGCTACAATGAGACTGGTAGGAGGGGCAGAGATGTAGAACAGGCAGGTCCCACACTCACATTAGATAAACAATGGATGGGAAATCTCGGCTGTGGAGGATCCCCCTGAGGAGCGAGGGTTCCCAGCCTCACACCAGGCCGCCCAGCCCAGGGTTCCAGGGCCAGAAAGAGAAGGCCCTATAATTTCAGGCTGTAAAAACCAGTGGGCATTAAGGCTGAGGGAAGACATGGCTGCTGGAGTCCCAGGTAGTTCCTCTTAAAGGGCCTGCTCACAGATTTACTCAGACTCACTCACTCCGAGCTGCAGAGCTGGGGCAGTAGCTTGAAAGGCACTAGAGACATACATAGAGGAAATGAATTCTGCAGCATCAGGGCAAGAGCTGGAGGTGGGTCAGGGCAGCTTTCTCTAAGACAGAAGTGCTGGCAAAGGCCCACTGTTCCTTTTCTGAGACACAACTTGCGGGCCCACCCCAAGCACATTCCAGTGGCTTTTCCACCCAAATGGCCTCTCTTGCCTCATGCTTTAGACTTTCCTAAAAATCTCTCAAACAACATCTGGCCTGCTGAACCCCACACCTCTTGCTACCAGGAGCCTGTCTTAGTTTGCAATCTGACCTTTCCTGGGTACTTCCAAGCCCAGCAATCTGTAGATTGCTCTGTAGCTTGTGCCAGGTGGCTCCAGAGCCAGCATGTCCTCAGATGAAGATTAAAAAAAGAAAAACACATAAAAATATGAACAGCAAAATGTTAATATATACGTATCTCTTGACAATCCTATCTAATAAGAGTAATATGCAAACTGACCATCACTCCAACACACAAGATGGCCGCCCCCATGTGGACACAAGATGGCTGCCCCCACATGGACACAAGATGGCCACCACAAGATGGCTGGCAGGGGAGGGCAGTTGTGAGCAATCTTGGGGGCGATCAGGCCTGCAAGGGAGAGCAGTTAGGGCTGACTGGGCTTGCAAGGGAGGACAGTGGGGACAATCGGGCTGGCAGGGGAGTAGTTAGGAGTCGATCAGGCTGGCAGAGGAGTGATCAGGGGGTGAT